TTATACATAACACTTCCAGCCCTTCCTATTGCATCTTGACTATCGCAGTGTATGCATATAGGGGCCATTGGTTTGGGCCAAAACGGAATATCTTCTAAGAAATTCCGGAGCCATTCAGCTTCTTCACCTGCCTTGTCTAAGGCGATGAATTCTGACTCCATTGTAGAGCGAGCTATACATGTTTGTTTGGATGATTTCCAAGATATTGCTCCTCCACCAATAGTGAAAACATATCCACTCGTAGATTTCGTTTATGTTGACCCAGTAATCCAATTTATATCCACTCGTGGATTTGGTTTCAGTTGACCCAGTAATCCAATTTGCATCACTATATCCTTCAAGAACTGCTGGATATTTGTTGTAATGCAAAGCATAGTTTTGAGTGTCTTCTAAGTACCCCAAAACTCTCTTCATTGCCAACCAATGATTTTGATTGGGATTACTTGTGTATCGACTCAGTTTACTTATAGCGCAGGCTATGTCTGGTCGTGTACAATTCATGACATACATCAAACTTCCCAATACTCTGGCGTAATCCAATTGAGACTGACTTTCACCTTTATTCTTAGCAAGATTAAGGTTCACATCAATTGGGGTCTTTGCCTTTTTGAAATTCAAATACTTGAACTTTTCAAGTACTTTTTGAATATAATGAGATTGAGATAATGCTAGACCGTTAGGAGTTTTGTGAATCTTTATTCCCAATATTAAATCGGCTACTCCTAGATCTTTCATATAAAACTTACTAGAGAGAATACACTTAGTAGCTTTTACATTGGTAATGTCTTTGCTCATTATCAGCATGTCATCCACATATAGGCATACAATGACTTCCTGATCCGTAGTGTCTTTAATGTAAACATATTTATCACACTCATTGATCTTAAATCCATTTGACAACATGGTTTGATCAAACTTTGCATGCCATTGTTTCGGTGCTTGTTTTAGTCCATAAAGTGACTTAACAAGTTTGCATACTTTCTTTTCTTTGCCAGGAATTACGAAGCCCTCAGGCTGTTCCATGTAGATCTCTTCCTGCAGCTCTCCATTTAAGAAGGCGGTTTTCACATCCATTGATGGATTTCAAGACCGTATACTGCAGCTAGGGCAATTAACATCTGAATTGATGTAATCCTAGTCACTGGCGAGTATGTGTCAAAATAATCAAGACCTTTTTCCTGTCTAAAACCTTTGACAACAAGTCTTGCTTTATATTTGTCAATAGTTCCATCATCTTTCATCTTCTTTTTGAAGATCCATTTTGAACCTAAGGGTTTGTTCCCTGGAGGAAGATCAACCAACTCCCAGGTATGATTGCTTAAGATTGATTCTATCTCACTATTGACAGCCTCCTTCCAAGAGGTTGAGTCGCTAGACAACATCACTTCCTTGAATGTTTGAGGCTCACTTTCAAGAAGGAATGTTACAAAATCATATCCAAATAAAGTAGCTGTCCTTTGACGTTTACTGCACCTTAGACTCTCTTCATTGGTTTCATTCTCTTTTGGTTCTTCTCGAGGTTGTTCAGACCCCCCACTAGATGACTCAAGTCTAGTTTTATACAGATAGATATGTTCAAAAAATTCAGCATTATCTGATTCCATTACCGTATTATCATGAATATCCGGGTGTTCGGACTTATGAACCAAAAATCGACATGCCTTACTATTTGTGGCATATCCAATGAATACACAATCCACAATCTTAGGCCCTATTTTCACCCTCTTAGGTATAGGAACCTGAACCTTGGCAAGACACCCCACACTTTGAAATATTTCAAGTTAAGTTTTCTACTTTTCCATTTCTCATATGGAATAACATGTGTCTTCGTATGAGGGCCTCTATTGAGTATTCGATTTGCTGTAAGGATAGCCTCCCCCCACAAGTTTTGTGGTAAACCTGAACTTATAAGTAAGGCATTCATCATTTCCTTTAAAGTTCAATTCTTTCTTTTTGCAATTCCATTAGATTGTGGAGAGTAAGGAGCAGTAGTTTGATGGATTATTCCATTTTCCAAACATATTTCGGCAAATGGAAATTCATATTCTCCACCTCTATCACTTCTGATCATTTTGATCTTTCTATCCAACTGATTTTCAACTTCAGTTTTATATTGCCTAAATGCATATATTGCTTCATCCTTACCATTTAGCAAATATACATAACAATATCTAGTGCAATCGTCAATAAAAGTTATGAAATACTTTTTCCCACCACGTGTTGGTGTTGACTTCATGTCACAAAATGTCAGTGTGAATCAGTTCTAAGGGATATGAATTCCTTGCAACAGATTCATAAGGATGCTTAGCATACTTAGATTCAACGCAAACTTGACATTTTGATTTATTGCACTCAAATTTAGGACAAAACATTTTAAGTTGATCAATTTTTGCAAGGTTTTGTTATTAACGTGTCCCAAACGTTCATGCCATAAACATTTAGACTCAAGCAAGTAAGAAGTAGCAGAATCTTTATTCATATCAAATGCAATTACATTGAGTTTAAAAAGGCCCTCAGTGAGGTAACCTTTTCCTACATACATCTCATTCTTACTTACTACAACTTTATCAGAAACAAATACACATTTGAATCCATTCTTAGTCAAAACTGGTATAGAAACTAGGTTCTTTCGCAATTTCGGAACATACGAGACCCTGTTCAAAGTCACCACCTTGCCTGATGTCATCTTTAGGAGGATCTTGCCAGTTCCTTCCACCTTTGCTACAACGGAATTTGTCATAAACAACTTCTCGTCTGTAGGTGCTGGAGTATATGATGAAAATAATTCTTTGTTTGCACAAACATGGCATGAGGCACCAGAATCTATCCACCATTCTCTTGGATTTTCCAAACCAAGTTGCATTCTGAAAGCATTGCACAAAGATCGTCCATCTCTCCTTTGGATTCAGCCAAATTTGCTTGATCCTTCTTCTTGTCCTTCTTGGGACCCCTATATTCAATTAGCCTTATGACCACGTTTGCCACAGTTGAAGCAGCTTCCATTGAATTTTTTCTTAGAAGGATTGCTCTTTGGACCAGGTGCTTTCTTTCTTTTCTTTGATTTTGTGGTATCTTCTTCAACAATATTTACTCCTGATATTGCTGAATTACCACGCGACCTCTTTTCTGCGGCCTTGTTATCCTCTTCGATTCTCAGCCTTACCATGAGATCTTCAACAGTCATCTCCTTGCGTTTATGTTTCAAGTAGTTTTTGAAGTCCTTCCACAATGGAGGTAACTTCTCTATAATGGCAGCCACTTGAAAAGCATCATTCACAACCAATCCTACATTAAAGATTATGTGAGTATTAAGAATAAACTTAATTTTTCCAACATAGGTATTAAATAAATTTATACCTTCAGCAAGGAGATCATGGATTATGACCTGCAATTCTTGAACTTGGGTGACGACGGTCTTACTGTCTATCATCTTATAGTCCAGAAACTTTGCCACAATAAACTTCTTCATTCCGGCATCCTCTGTTTTGTACTTCTTTTCTAAAGCATCCCAGAGTTCTTTTGAGGTTTTCACATTACTGTACACATTGTACAGATCATCCTGCAGGCCACTCAGAATATAATTTTTACACAAAAAATCAGAATGTGTCCATGCTTCTGTTACCAAGAATCGTTCTTCAGGCGGAGTTTCATCCGACATAACAGGAACGTTCTCATTAATGAACCTCTGCAGACTCAATGTAGTCAGATAGAAGAACATCTTTTGCTGCCATCTCTTGAAGTCGACTCCAGAAAACTTTGCAGGTTTCTCAGCCGGTGCTAGGGCAGCATTTGAACGATTGTGTGCAACCGATGTTGTTGCAGCACTTACTGTTCCAGCATTTACTTGACTTGAATTAGTCATTTTTTCTGTCACAAATGGCAGACAATTTTAGTATGTGAAATACTAACAGTAAAGAATAAATCCTTACACAGACTGTTTCTGATTTAACGATAAAGTTTTTATGTTCTTTTAATCGTTAACCGAATGAATTTTAAAAATTCAAACAGAGTAGAAAACCATAAAGGTTTTAATCTCCAGAAACCTCAAATACATAAACTATTAAATTTCTTAAGATTGTAATCTCATGTATTCAGGTTAGTCCAAAAATACTGAAATAGAAAGTAGATGAAATAGACAGAATGATTTTAATCCGAGTCCACAGAAACCACTGTGTTTCCTTAAGAAATTTAATCCCCTCACTGTACCCGCGGTTGCAGATTAATTCCTCCCAAGATAAATGGATTAACATGTTAAAGAAGTAGCGTTACCTCAAACTTCAATAACTTCAGCGAACGCAAGAACAACAACAAGAGCACACTCAGACTCAGTCGATCGACAATTTTGTTTATGTAAGAAAATATATGCAGAGAGGAAAAAATTTCAGTGTTTAAAACCGAAAAAAACATCTCTATTTATAGCCATTTACAGCAAGAAATGCGTCTGTTCAGACCCGTTTTTTCCAGAAGGTTGTGATTTTTGGGAAAAATAATGACTTTTCGGAACGTTATTACCGTTGCATATGAATTTTAAATAAATTCCATTGCGCCAAATTAATTATGTTATTTAACTAACATTCTGAATTAATTTATAAGAGAAAAGAAATGAATTAACAAGATTGATTAAATAAATTTTGTCCAAAAATATTATCAATCAATCACATCATTTGCCAAATCTAAATCCAAATCCAAATCCGAAGCCGAGCGAGCGACGACGATGGCACGAGTGGGCACCTTCTTCTTAACCTTTTAAGAACTAAAGGAAGTGTTTCCTAATATAAGGACAACAATTTCCTCTCTTCTACCGATATGGTAAAAATGACTATTCATTTGCACTTTTGCAATGACTTTTCATTTTCCCTCCAAAATTGGTTCCCCCACACATGAATGGGGAATGACTATTGTTAAAA